GCCAAAAGGCAGCTGCCATAAACATAAAAAATAAAATAAATACAAGTCAGAATCTAAGCAAAGTTTGCAGAGATTGCGATTGTAATAAAAATCACTTTGAATATCGCATAGGTGTGGTCCTAATTACCGATATTAAAGCGGATCTATTTCATCTGGTCGCAGACTCCGCGAGTCGGACACTCCACCCGACTGCTTCAATTCGATTCGTTGCGATTCATTTCGATTTGATTTGCCACGAGTCCGGTCTTGGTTCGCTTCGGTTCGGCCCGGTCCGGACATGGAAATCAATATGATAGAGCTGCTGGGGTGCTCTATGGAGGCCCCTCCATTCGGCGGTGTAAATCTGTTAGAGCCAGCACAAGCGGCACAATCGAAATGTGTTCTGCAATTGCAGATGGTAAAATTTGTGCTAATAGCATCAAATGTCTGTAATTTCACTGTATGCCATTCAATATGCCAATGGTCGAAAGGAGCGTCGTGGGTCGGGCATAGGCATAGGCTCTGCTCTGGTCTCTGGTCTCTGGTGTGTAGTCTGGGGTGGGTCTTATCAAGGCCAGCTGGCGGGTAACCAGATAACCAAGCCCTTGTTTTAATTAAATAGCTGCACATAAAATACAATACACTTAAGCGGAGACTTAAAAAGAAGCTGAGCAGGAAGTGGTCGCCATCAAAGTGTTTCTCTGCTCTTGCCTACTTTCGTTGTATCAATTTCACTTGGCCCAATGCCTCCACAATGGCCCATCAGTGTCAGCCTGTCAGTCAGTCACTCAGTCAGTCAGCCAGGCAGTCAATCCGACTGTCAAAACGCACGCCCATTCATAAGTTGGGCTTTACATTTAAGGCTCAATTATGGCGCACTTAATGAACTCATCTCCCGGACAGCGCATCAAACAATAACTGCGAAAACTGTCAAAACATTTTCTGTATACAAACAGAAACTATCAAATCAAATTGGAGCACCCGTGACGAGGCGTGGGCGAGCCTTGATCTCCTCTCTCTGTATGAGCTGTGCATAAAAGAAAGCAATTAACAATTTCAATTTGATCGGTTAGCATCTGGCGGGGGAATACTTAACCAGCAAGCCATTAGCTAAGGCGACACTAATCCAACAATTGAAACACTGCTTTCAAATGTTCATCGAGCTCTCTTTGGGGGGGGAATTCATTTTAGTGTATTTTGATATAAAGTGGATCTGCTCGAATAAGCAGATATATTTCTTTCAAGAGAAAGCACATCTCAAGTGTTCCAAGAAGAAGATTTTCCAGTTAGTTGTGTTAAACTGAGTTCAAAGAGATTTTCAGAATCATTTCCATAAAGTAAAATTAATATTTGAATCAGCCTGACTATGAAGACACATTTCTTACTATCCTCAACCAATTTCCGTATTATTTCGGATGTTAATAGCTTAATCCCCAAGGAACAATCTTATGCAATCTTTTTTTTTCTGCTTATTCTTGCATTTTTTCAACTTCCTCTTTGGCTCAAGCGTCTGATTCATTTGGTTCCCATCTCGGTACCGGCTCGGTGTCTCTCACCTTGATCTTGGTGCATGACTGGAAGTAGATCCATATACATACACATATATATAGGTATATGTATTTATGTATAAATAACACACCCAGGTTCCTGATCGACAACCGGCCAAGCCGAGTGTACTACTATGCATAGCATTACGAGTACGAGTACGAGTACCAGTATTATCGGAGGTTCGGTATGGGATACACATATGGATTTTACCGTTTTAGGCATTCGGTCTAATTGATTGTTTGTGGTTGCCGGCCGCCACCTACTGACCTTCACATTGAGCGGTGTCAGCGGCGACAGCGGACAGTATCCGCAAGTCGATCGGTCCGTCGATCGATCGGACTGGCAGACAGACGACTCGTCGTCTAGCTCGTGCTCTGTGTCGGGACCGGACCGGATCGGACCGAGTCTGGTCTAAGATCTGGTCTCTAGCATTGGGGAAAAGAGATCTGATACGACCACACAATGGGCGCGTTAGATTGCTAATCGATTTGCTGCTCATTCGATTTTTATTACGTATTCAAATTGGTGCAATTACCACTTGGAACTCGTATGGCATTAAAGTGGGTGTGGTCCCAACTCGAACCCCCCCACAACCACAACTAAAACCATAGCCTCAGCCTTAGCCTCAGAGTTTAAGTTTTTGACTTGCGATGCTAATTATAAATGTTTCTACAAAGTGGACACGATCGGAATCGCCGGTTTTTCTACTGCTCTTGTTATAAAGCAATGGAAATTTCTCCGGGTCTTGAATTACGTGCCGGATTTGGAGTGCGACAGCCAGCCATCAACCTGCGGATCGCATCGGATCGGCTTGGTTTGGTTGGGTTTGGATCGGATCGGTGGCGAGTGTAACTGGAAACCTTCTTTCACAATGATTTTCATTCAGTTATTTGCCCTGCCTTGCCACGCTATGCCACGCCATGCCACTCCATGGAATACCTTGGTATGCAGATATTTGCAACCATCGGAGAGCAACCGCAGTGGGCAAACACTTGCTGCCTGGTTGGCTACCGGGTCTGGGACTCCCTCTCCCCGCCCGTCTCCTTGCCACCCCCCCTCGATGGTTCTCCCTCTCTGGGCCGCGTCTTGTCTTGCCAATCACTCAATCAAAACGTCACTTGGCGTGGCAGTTTTGCGTGGCGTTTGCTGGAAATTGAAATAGAAACGTCAGAATTTCTGCTCTAATTATAAGGCGGTATGTTTTACGTACTAGCCAAGTTTCTTGACTCCTCCAGTCCGATTGTCCGTTTGTACGTTTGTCCGTTTGTCTATTTTTTTCTGTTTCTTTTTTCCCTCAATGAGTAGTTTTTTTGCTGTTTTGTTTTACAGTCTGCGCTTTGGCTTTGGCTTCCATCCGTCTCAGTGTCTGTCTGTGGCCGTGTCTGTGGCTATGGCTGTGTCTGTTGCAAGAAAGATTATGCTTTGATGCACTCACGTTAAGCTCACTTTACAGTTACAATTATTGTTTAATATCGTGTAGCCGCAGAAGACCCTAGAGACCCGCTCGGCCGGCATTTGCAACACTTGCCGCACTTTGTTGCAATAGGAGCTGGAGCTGAAGCCGGAGCCGGAGTCGGAGCTGCTGCTACTGGGCTAAAATTTCATTTGCAATTATTATGCATTAATTGCGGGTGGGACGATGAGTCTCATATGTCCCCCAGTGCCAGGCCGATCCGCTGCAACTGCTGGAACCATTGCAACCGCTGGTCCACCACCCATTGGTCAGTTTCCCAATCGCAGAGACCGTACTGAAATGGTTTTGTTTTGGTACCAAGAAAAACACAAAACGCAAATTGTTTTAGATTGCCTAAAGCGGCGAATTATTTGCAGTATGTTGCCACGTTTTGTGTCGCTGCTGATTATATAAATCGGCGCAGAAATTGCCTGTAAAATCAGCTGCCTGTTTGCACCCCAACAAGCCTCTCCCTCTCCAGCACCTATCTATCTGGCTGTCCTCACTCTAATGCACGACACGTCGGTGGCAGCCTCTGGTCAATTGTCTGCCGCACATTTGCTGGGCACGTGATTGTTGTCAGGTGGAGCCTGCTGCAGCAGCAGTGGCCGGCTGTTGGGTGCTGCTGCTGCTGCTGGTTGGGCATATTCCATATGTGAACAAGCACTGCTGATTTTTGTGTAGAAACTCTTGGAATTGATTTGGATCTACTTTAAAGGAAAAGAAGATTCGAGTCTGGGAAAGATTAATACAATTTATAAAATCTTTTTTAATAAACCCAAATATTCATATGCATATGTGGCCTATTTTAAAGAAGCAATTTCTTTTGGGTAGCAATTCAGCTTAATTTTGAATTTATTTTGCATTTGTATCCCCCTTGGCAGTTCCATTCCATTCCTCCCTGACCCAACCCGATTAAACTTGCATCAACTGCCAGTTTCGGGCACAAATCAGCGTTTTACGGTGTTGCAGTTGCAGTTGCACTTGCAGTAGCAATGGCCCCAAGTCGCTGTTGCATTTGCCGCTGGTTAAAATCCGAAAAGAAAAAGAAAAAAAACTATTTGCGCGCTTTGCGAGCGTGTCAAAGAATTGGTCATTGTTTGTAATTATGAAAATTGCTTAATTGTTGCCCAACTCCCGGTGGCAGTAGCAGCAACAACAGTTGCACTTGCAGCGTGGTAAAATTTGGCCAGGCATTTGTTTTTCTTTTTGTTGTTGTTGTTTGCTGCTGCTGCTGCTTAAGTGGCAAGGCTTAATTGTTAATAATTTGTGTTATAATTCTGGCGCAGAGTGGCAACTTCTATTGCTAAATTATTAATTGCATTAATATTTAGCTGCAATCTTTCGGGTGTATCTACATATATTTTATATATAGTTTTCTGCTTTGTGTAGAGTTCCTTGGCCTGCCAGTGGGCTGCGCCCAGTTTTTTTTTGCCGCTGTTTATTGCCGCTTGACTAAGCAAATTTATAAACTAAACGAACATACATACAGATATAGGATATATACATACACAAATATCGTATATAACATATATGTGTATGTGTAGTATGTGAGTGTGCTTATAGTCCAGTTTTCTGGTTGTTTTATGGCCCAGTCATACGGACAAACGAAACAGAAATGAAGAAAAAAAAATTGGTTTTTAATTATTATTATTGTTATTGCTGCAGTAACTGTTATTTTTGTTGCTATTTCCAAGGAATGGCCCCCCGTCGTAATGAGCAATTTCAGTTGGAATTCTTTCGAGTGTGCTGCTGCCTCGCTTTCGGCCCGCAATTAAACGTTACTCATACGACCCTGTGGCCGCCGCCCCGCAAATTAAGCCAAATTAAGGCGGCTTATTATGACAAAACAACAAAAACAGCAGCAGCAGCAGCAACAGCAACAACAGCCAACCTGTGGGGGGATCTGGTTCATTGTGTGTGGCTAAAACAGGTAATTAAAAGTGCCCCCGCCTCTGGCTCCATAATCGCGGTTTGTCATATGATTTATAATAAGTTTTGCATAGATTTATTGACTTACTTTGGCTCCCCCAAGCGGAGCAGGAAGAATGTGTGCTGTGCGCAGGAAATGCCAGCAAGTGCACTGAAAATAGTTTCAAAGTGAAATAGCATTAAAGCGTTATAATTAATACAAATCAGCACACTTAACATATAAGTACACCCCAGGTATAGATACATAGATACTCATACTGCTTTTGCGGTAGCCGTAGCCGTAGTTCGGTTCGGTTCGGTTCGGTTCAGTTTTAGCTATTGGCATGCCCGGCACGCAGAGCAATTTTAATTAGACATAAACGCTGGAGGAGCTGCAGCTGGATCTATAGACGAAGTGGACATTGAGACGGAGACCCAGACGATGTCTACGATTGCGGCTGAAAGTGTTTAGTTGGCAATTACATAAAATAAGGAGCAACTTCCACCAACATCAGCAGCAGCAGCAGCAGCCAACGGTCTTCGATCTGCCATGTAACGGCCCCAGATGCTGTCTCCGTTTACTCTCTTTATGCAATCCACGAATTAACATGTTCCACAGCCAAAAGCCAACGCACAAGTCGCAGCCTGCCTGCCTGCCCAAGATGCTGTCATCAGACACATAGATACAGCCTCAACTGGAGCTACATATGTGCGAGTGTGTGTGAGTGTGCCTTGCCTTGCTCTGATTTCAACGGAAAATGCTGGCTGCTGGGTGCTGGCTGGGGCAACAGGTGCCTGCCTGGCAACGCCCATTGCGTGTGGTGTGGCCAAAGGCGGCGTCGACAGCGGCTAGAAAAACGCCAAGACCCCCAGATAAGCGGCAGAGCCAGACGAGCAAGTGCGTGAGTAGAGCAACCAGAGGCGTGGCTGGGAAGAGGGATCATCATCGTGTCAGGCACATTATTCTGAGCAATTCCTTCTTTTATTGAAATTTCTTCACACCTGTCGAGTCCCCCACTGCGCCGCCTATGTCCTGGCGCCAAAAAAGAAGCGACAACGGGGCGACTGGCGCTAAATGGCTTTCGCCATATAAATGTCTTCATTGCGTATGAGTGATGAGGCAGCCATGGCCATGGCCATACGTCCAGCAGGCCATACGTTCCTCTCTGCACCATTCCCTCTGTGGCAGGCAGATACACGCAGCTCTCTCGGAGTCACCTGTTGACGCATTTGGGTGTTGATTTTTAATTTATGCGCTTTTAATGTGCGAGAAAACATGCATTTAAAGTGAATTTATTATGAATAAAAGCGCAACATTAATTACGATCGGCCGGCCGAGGCGCAACAACAAAAAAGAGAGAAGCTCTGTGGTGGGACTTTGGGGCAGGTCAGAAGTGTTTTTGGGCATATTGCCCAACACGATCTGTCCACATCCTGTACAGGTGGATGTAGGGAGGAGGGAGGGTGCAGAGGCGCACGACTCTGAATCTGACTCTGACTCTGACTGACGTTGCAACACTTTGGCACGCATGCGCGGCATTTTAATGCGCAAAGTGCGCTGCTGCCAACAACGAAACACGCAGCACGCCCACTTTTTCTTGAAACACCAATACATACCATACAGATACTTTTAGGAGACATACAGATACACACATATACACAAACGGACACACAGATAGGTACGCGGCCAGAGTCTGGGAGATTTATTATTGTATAATGCGCCGTACGCAGTTTTATTTATTGCTCTGCACGCCAAAAACTTTAAAATCAATTGAAAAGCTATAAAAACGTTCGTTTATTTTTTATTGTGTGCCGTTGTGGCTGTATTTTTGCTAAGTATTTCAACATTTCTTGCGGCCCGAACTGCTCCAAATTGCCAAAATGGTTTGGTTTTTATATATCTCTCTCGGCTGACTTGCCCAATGGGTTGGTCTGGCTCCCCGCTTCGGCGGAAAGGCAATTTAATGGGCCGAAAACAGAGTTTTCAGAGTTGCGTTGCCTGGGGATGGATGGATTGATTTCTCACCTAGAAAGTGCTGGAGAAATCTGCCCAGAATTAAGTTTAGGATAGTAAAAGTGTTAACAAAGCCTATGAATGGCAGACTCTGACTTCTGTATGCTCGACTCCATTCACGATTTCAAAGCATATAAACATATGCAGATCTCTGCTGAAATGGCTCCAAAAGCCAGGCCCCAAACAAGTCCCGACTAATGCCTAATCCTCTGACAATATATACACATCGATTTATGTATCTTTTGTGGCCGTCTCTTCACACAGCATTAACAAGATGTCTGTCAGGTAAGTCAGAAGCGGAAATGCCCAACCCTGTATCGCTTTTTGGCAACTCCTTTGACCGGGGGCTTTGGGAGCTTAAGTTTAACGATCGCTTATTGATATTTCGGCCGATACAAGAAGAGCTCTTCGAAGTAAAGTGTCAACACTTTTTACCAAAGAATAACACCCATTAGCTGGAGCTAAACGATGGGCCATAAAACGTGGCCGTTGGATCGTAAACCACCCAAAAGGTGGCACAAAGTGTAAAGTCATAATTGTACAACTCGTCGGGGCATTGATGATGGTTAAGCATAAAAACCATTCACTTTTTGTCGATGCGATGATGCGATTGATGATGGTTGTAGGACTGTGACTGTGGCGTGGCGTGGCGTGGCTGTGCCTGAGGATGATTTCAGAGATCCATACACTCAGTGCCCATAAATAGATGTGAATAAATGTGATTAACGCATCTTTTATACAATTTCCACGCATCAAAAGCAATGCAAACTCAACGGCTTGTTCGTTTTTTATGTGTATTTATATGTTTCTTTCTTTCTCGTTTGTTATTGGTGTGGCTATTGTTATTTTTTGTGTTTCTTTTTTGTTGTTAAGTGGCCTGCTGCTGGCTCATAAATTGTGGCCAACTGTCAGGTGTATGACGAATAGCTTGTCCATCGCCTGATTGATTTGCATGCGCCGCTGATTGACAAATGGCATCGATATCCACATCAGCATCTGCATCAGCATCAGCATCAACATCAGCCCCGGACTTCAAGTGGCTTAATTTATGCAAATGCCATACTTCAACTCATACGAGTACTCGTAGTCGTACTCGTACTCGGAGTCATTCTGCACTCGAGTGCAGGCTCGGTTTCTATGCACTCTGCATGACAATGGCACGAGCACAATGGGAACCGAACTGAGCTGAACCGAACCGACCTCTGAGAGAGTGTCCCCATCGGATCTCTCTCTGGCAGAGACCAGGGCAATTAGGCCCAACTATGAACGCCCTCTGCCAGTCGTCCCATGTGGGGCGTGTGGCGTGCTCTGGCTTTTGTTGCAGCGCATTTGCATAAACGTCTCGAGCAGCGACACCTCCAAATGTCATAGCAGTACTACGGATCGGGCCGTACACACCACGCATGAATGGAACCACCGCCCTATGTGTGGGCTTCCCATGTGTGTGGGGTCTCCTGTGAGCGGTGTCTGATTTATGCCTGGGAGCCTGAGATCGGAACTGAGTTTTGCTCTGCTTTGCATATTGGATAATTTATGAAAGTGGGAAACACTTGGCTGGACCAATCTCAGATCCATAATTCAATTAGAAATCATATAAAAGCTGGAACTGTAAATGGATTGTACAATGGGACAACCGGAACAGCATTTGGAACATTAACTGCAAAGGGAGGAATATTTTAGAAAGATTGTCAAAGCGATCTAAACGAATGAGAATTTTTCTTTAGCGACTAAGAACTAAGAGAATTCCAGTGATATTTCATTGACCCATTTATTGATATATACAGAAATTTGAATAGACATAGATTTTGTTCCACTGATTTGGGGAACCGGAACAGAATTCTCTCAAGCTATTTGGACAAAGATTAAAATATACAATTTTCCCCTCTTTGCTTGGCCAATCTGCAAAAGCTGAAAACAATTTGCCGCTGGATTATCGCCATGATTCTTGGCTCATAAAGTGCGGAAGCCTTCTTGAGGCTGGTCACGTGGCTGTGGCTGTGTCTGCCCCAAGGACATGGCTTGCAGAGCAAACGAACGGTTAATAAAGCAATCAACAATTGGACTGCAAATCAAATTGGCAGCAGCCGCCGCAGTGCTAAAACCCAGCAAAATGTGCTAAATTAACTAATTTTAGTTTTAAGCAATGGCAGCACTAGGCTGCAGCAGCAACAAAAACAAAGCTCCGCTCGAGAGTGGGAAAATAAAATTTGTTGCGCTAACAATGGCTAACAAAATACAGAAAAAAAATAAAAATAACTGCTGCCAGGTTATGGCTCAGTCAGTGGACATGGTCTGCAATGACTGCCTGCTGCAACCGGAGAGGCAGAGGCAGAGGCTGAGGCAGTGGATGAAGCTGAAGCGGCAACTTTGGTTGAGTTTTGTGGGCGCAGCCCGGCACTGAACAGAACTCCAGCCCCAGCCCCAGCACCAGCCCGATCCCGAGCTCGGACTGACCGTGTATGCCATAACTATTTATGAACAGTTAGTTAACTTAAATGCTAGGTGGCAATTAAAGGGGCGTGGCTGTGGCTTTGGCTGTTGTTGTTGCTGCAGCCACCAAGAGGAACAGACAGACATCCAGTAGAAATCATAACCTTGCCCGGACTCGGACTCGGACTCCGGCAGTTGGGAATCAATAAGAGCTTCATATAAAGAAACATACGAGTACTCGGTAGCCATATAATTAGCATTTGTTTCCGAGCAGAGCCCGAGCCCAGACCCAGACCCAGACCCAGACCGAGAGACAGAGCCAGAGTCAGATCGAGGGACTCGCCCTGTTCCACACCCCAAAAAAATAAAAGAGAGAATAAAAAGCACACACAATAACAGACAATTTGTGGTTTCTTTGTTTCCTGACCGAGTCCCCATATAATGGCCACGTTAGTTGGCCGTTAATTTGGCCAGTCAAATGAGTCTCCGAGGCTTTAATTAACAACAAAAAGGCCACACTCTAATTGATAAATTAAACAAGAAATTCAATTAATATGGGCGCTAGCTAAACCTCCACATAATCCCCACACATACGTGTACGGAAGGTGCCAAGTTGTTAACATAAGCATTGAACTTCGTTGTTGTGGCAGCACCAGCTGCCAAAATGTTGAATGAATCCATTAATTTGCACCAGCGCCCCCAAAAAAACGCTAAACAACCGGGCAACA